ATATATTAGATTTTCCACAAAATAGGGTGGTAAACGGTATTACGACATAAATTTACATTTTGTCGGGTGTTCATGGGCAGCTCGTCCACCCTTCGTATTGGATTTTTAGTTAGTGAATTTGTGTAGAGTGGATTTACTTTTTCCTTGCTGCCTGCCACTGATTTGATTGTCTGCCCGTTGTCATTTTCAAACATGCAAACTTGATGGCAGTCTTCGAATTTCTACAATCTTTTATTATTTTTATTTCCATTTATTTACTTTTTTTGGTTGATTTTCATATAAATCGAATTTTCTTAATTTTATATTCCTACAAATGTTTCACTCTCTCACTGCTCACTCTTCAGTGCTGTGCACATCAAAATCACAATTTGCAAAAGTCGCCAACAGATTAAAGAGTGAAAGAAGTAGTTAAATGCGCTACCGTTTGCAGTTGGTAAGTTTAGTGGGTTATCTTTTAATGTTAGCTTAAATTATTTATTAAGCTTTATATAAGAAGCAAATCCAAAAACATTTTAATATTCATATTTATTATTATTATTATTGTGTTGAGGCTAGTTGAATCAGTGCACTTGAGCACTTTTATTCTCTATTAACCGCGGGGTTTCTTCATAACCCCTATCTACGCCTTGACTGGATTATTGTTTATCACTTCATCAGACAAAGCAATAATTGACCTCAGTTCTGCCTAACTTCCCGAGGAGCCTGTAACCATTCTGAGAATCTTGGGGTCCCTGAGGAAGTCATTCGTCCTAATGTACCATGGTACCTTGAATAGTCTTCTCAGACCCTGGTTATGTGCAATTTCCAGCTGGCGAATATCGCTCGCATATGAGAATTAAGGTTTTAAGTTATTTCTCAAATTTCGAGACCAATTAATTTATTAATTTGAAACAATCAGTTATTAATTATAATAACATTTTTTACCATTCAGCGATAATAATCACAAAAATGTGATTGAAGATTTTTCTGAAGAAATTGTGAAGTAAGCTTTATGATTGAACAATTTGATTTAGATATGTCTATGGGTCAATGTGCATACTTGTCTTCATTATACGACATGGAGAAGAAGATGAAGCAGATTGTTAAACAGAAAAAAAATGTAAAGAATTATGGAAAAGATAATAAGAGTCAGAAGCGCTACCTAACAGCACTAAAACACATACCAAAAATTTCACGAAAAATTAATGTTTAAAATTTTAGAAATAGGCATTGTCAATAAGGAAATTAATTTGAAAATAAAGAAAAATTTTAGATCTAAACTTAAAGAAATTTTTTTTTCTATATGCACATTACATTACACTACAAAAGTGTGCCATTACTCAAGGAAATAAGCTGACTGTTGATGTTTGTACTGCAATCTCAATCTCATGTTTTGTTACATGTTTTTCATTTAAATTAAATGAAAAAGTAGCATTCACGAAGTTGAGTACTTGTGGAGTTATTGCATATAAAAATTTTGGAAAGGTGAATTTATTAATATAGTCCTTTTTAATATATGCTTGATTTATTTTATGTAAAAAAGGAGTGTACTATTAATTTTTTTTTTTTCATTTAGGTTGTATTGATGGAAATATATGGAGATACCAAAAAAACTGTCAGACAGTTTACATAATGGTTTTCGTCGCCTTCCAAATAAAAATTTTGGTTATTTTGATTAAAAATAATATTACTTTAAATAAAATTTTAAGTAAAGTTTTTGACAAAGTTTTTATTATAATAGTTACTGACTTTTGATTATAATAATGTACTATACCATACTTTTTTTTTCATTTTACTATAATTTCTCTTAATATTAATAGAAAGTAGTCAAATCATATAAGTATTCGTAATCATTGCTTTGGAACCTTTCATTTAAGGTGTATACATGCATGTCTATCTACTGGCATGTCTTTCTATTTCTATCTGTTGTTGAAAAAGAAAAGAAAATACAGCCTCTATGAAACCTATAAATTTATAAATTTCGTAAGACATTGTAGGTTTTGATATAAGTAATTTTTTTATGATTACATGCATATTCATTGGAAAACTATAGATTATAGCAATGATATAATAATTTGTTTTTAATTTATTTTATTGTTTTATTTATTTCCTAATTCAAGAGCTTAAAATTGTCATTAGTGGTCTTTAAATAATCAAATTTAATCACAATTTATTATATATTAAGTTTTTCCATGATAATTGTTCACAGTTTGATCATCTGCTTTTTTAGTTATTTTTAACTAAACCCTTATTTTTTGGGATCCTCCTTTCGATCTTGCATTGAATGCTTGTTGCGAAGTTTTTTTTTTGGTTATTACTTCTTCTGGTCGACGTAGTACACGTATTAGTAATTTATATGCTAAACCTATACAATTTGGATGACTATAGTATAATAAGGCCATCATTTTTTTCAACTAATTAAAATATTCGCTATAAAAATTTATGGTGAAATGCACTTAGTTTGTTTCTTTAACTATCTTCACAAACCATACACTGAGCTTAGGCTGGGTGGTACAAATATGTTGCATATTCGCATCTTTATTCCTCTATTGGGAATGCTGAATTTTGCAAGAATTTAAATCATTTCCTTGCAATATCATTTAAAATGCTGCTCTAATCCCTCTAGAGAGTCGACAATAAGCACTATGTCATGATTCGACTTATTGCATCAATTCGTATTTTTTAATATGGTTTTGAAGTAAATATTAAACACCAACGGTAACAATGTCCCGTGCATCCTTAGTAAGTCCCGGCGTATCTTAAGTTGTTAATAATATCTTATTAATCATAATTCTATTACTTAGCACTTCATTAATATGGATTCCAAGTAAACATTAGAAAGCAGAGGTAAGAAAATACATCCGGGTTGGTATTCTAATATCTCTCTCGCCTAATTGACATCTGTTTTAAGGTATCTACCTAATTTTACAAAGAATTCCGTACAACAATATTCTTGTATCTTCTCGGTTCCGAAAGCCAAATTAAATGTCATTCGTTGTCACCAAATTTATTTTTTTTTTCACTTAGTTTATGCATTTGTATTGTTGCTTATGTCTTCTATTATCATTTTAACCAGTCATCAATGCAACTCATATATTTAGTATAAAATATAGTGAAAAAGAATGAAAGTTAAGTACCACAGGTTACAAAAAGTAAAAGTTAAGAAAATGGTGATGTTAGATTTGTATATTTAGTATAAAAATTAAAATGTTTGTAAATAAAATTAGAATGAGTGAACATTTGAAAACCTTACTATATAAAATACCGCATGTTATCTTAGGGTCATATTAGAACTCTTGGTGCAAAAGATAGGGTTCATACACCCAACTACAAAAGAAAAATAAGACTAAAAAAAATTGGCCTAAAGGATTTACATAATTTTAGTTTAGTATATTAAGAACGAATATAGTGAAGTACTAAATTGGATAAATAAATAAAAATTAAAACCACAATCCACTACTTTTTTCATGAAAATCATGAGTATTAGAATGACATCTGATGATTCATTGAAATATAATCCTGATTTATGCTTTTAACAATTTTCTATGCTTAAGAGGCATTTGCCATTATTTCGTTCATAAAAATGGCCACAATCTAATAAAAAATTACAATTTACAACTACGTTTAAATTGATATCCTCCATTAGGGTGGTGATGTTTTAATCCCTGGAGTAAATGTGTATGGAGTAGTAGAGCGTCTGCACTGTGCACGTCAGTCCCGGCATTTTTTCTTTTCGGCTGCTTCTGTACAAATATTAACTCTGTCTTGGCACTGTTTTAGTTAAAAATTTATAAAAAAGTGTGTACAAAAAATAAAAAAAAATATAAAAAATTTATAAAGAAAAATGAAAAAAATAAAAAAAAAAATTAATAACAATAAGTAAATGTATGAAAAGAAAAAAAAAATGATAAATAACTTTGTTCACTGTGTGGACGTTTGATTAATGATGCATTTACCAACGTTCTACTTTATATTATTTTTAGTGCTTTTCCCAGCTCTGCTTTTCCTCAAATAATATATATTTTTTTTAATATACTCGTAAAGTTTAGGATTTTGCTAAGTTCATTTCTTAGCAGCACTATTTTTTATTAGTGGTACGTGGCAATCTGCTGGATTTTTTGGGATTAAAAGTACATTTTTATTGTCCACCGTTTTTTGGTTCCAAATTAAATTAACACGTTTTCCTGAATAGAATGAGTATGCTTCACTTCAGCAGAGTTAAGCTGCCTTATTTTTCAAGTAATCTTAATATATAAAAACCGCAGTTACGCAATTTTAGTATTAATTTTGTTTTAATTCATCTATTATTATAAATTTTTGATAAGGAATAGCAGTGTAAAATTATAAGATGAAAAATGTTTGATGAAATAAAACTAAAAATTATAAGTACATAATGTTTCTGTATGTATGTGACGAAATATACGGAAATATTTTATTTACATTGGTATAATTTATTATTGTGAGTTATACTTCTCTTATTCCTCTTTATACGGGGCTTCGACGCTGCAGATAGATATGGTTTAAATATATATAAAATATCTTATTCATATAGCAAAAAGAATCTTAATTGTTTTTGGCTTTATTCACTTGGTTCTTTCGGTTGCATTGATACAAAATCAAAAATCGATTCCATACAAAAATCCGATAAATACAATTAAGGTAAAATTGTAATTCTTATAAAACCAAGATGATATTGGTATGTAATTCATAGTAGTGTTTGGTTGCCAATTTCTTGGTGTTTATTTATGGACATTTAAAATGAACGAATTATTCCAAAAACCACTGATATGTATTTAAAGACCAATATAAACAATCAAAAATCTGATTAATTAAATTATAAAACATTTGTTGTTATTCTTTGTCATTAATGACAAAGCTTAAGTAAAAAAAATTGAAAATTAGTTTTTATTTTTGTATATATTATTATATAGTATTCAATATAACTGTCGCCGACTTTTCGAAGTGTGTTATACTTTGCAAGTATATTATATAGTAAAGATAGATATTCTGAATTAACTGTTGTGATGTTTAATACCAATATAACTGGGTTTTCTAGATATCGGGCTTTTGATTTGGAGAGTTTAAATGTAACCTACCAAGAAGTTGACATATAATTCTGATTAGATTTTTGATGGAAATGCAAAATGCAAAAAATGGATGTCCTAGTTGAAGCGTGTAGACGGCATGTATAAATTCTTGTTAAGTATTTAGACGATTACCCACTATTACACAATATTCAATGCATATACAATATCCAATTGGAAGTATATCGATTCGTCATTTAAGGCGCCTGCAAGATATGAAGATATACATTACGAAATATCGATTCAAATGCATAGCGGTTATTGAATGCATTTTTGAACAAATGAGCAAATGGTCATTAATAACCGATGGGGTGTATTGTAAAGCGGTCACATTTAAATACAAATACGTAAAAGTCAATTACGGCAAATTTATGCAATATAATATTTAATAAAATTTTTAAAATTAATCGTGAATTGGCTCTTATACTAATATCAATGTGAAAAGTCTATATATATAGTTTTTTACTTCGATATTTTTAGAAGTGAAGTATATACACATAAAGGGAACTGAAAAAAAGTTGGACTGAATGATTGACTCTACTGCAATCATTTTTAGATTGATGTGTCCAAGAAATTTCAATCATATTTGGAATTGCTAAGTTTGTTCTTAATGAGTCTTATTTAAAATTATTATTCTTTATGTAGTGTAAATAAACTTTATAAGATTATTAACTTGCAACATAGACTAATAAACTCATATATGTAAATAAAACAATAAACGTTTTTATTAAAAGTTTTTCTTTTTTATTTATTGAATAAAATACTTTTTTAAATATACAGACCATTCAATACTTTCCAATTGCTGTTTTAAACTAATATGCTGACGATCTGATACATTAAGTTACCGAATGAATAATAATAATACTTAATGAATAATTATTAAAATTATTAATAATAATTATCAACTAATAATTAAGTGATTAATAATTAATAATTGAAAAATAAAGCTCTTGTGAAAGTATATACGTCTTAATATGATTCGTGAGCTAATGACAACCTTTTTTTAGTTTTCATTCGTATTTGTTATTTATTTTAGTCGTATTTGAAAGACTGTTGTTGCTCGAAAAAAAATGGAAAAAATAAACGCATCCCCGCCCTATTCATCAGTTGCATTTTGTGTAGTATCAAAAAATAAAATAAATGAGTTCAAAATTTCAAGTTCAAAATTTATAATCTGATTATATATTCCAATCAATGTATCTGATTCAGCTCCAATATATTATAGTTTTTTTTCCAGTTTTGGGTTCTCCATGACAGATTTATTTTAAAAATTTCCCAAAAATTAATTATAAATGAGGTAGGTCACATAAAATAGCAAATGGTAAAAATATAATAAAAATTTATCCAATTTGGGTACTCCAAAAATACTGTGTATTAATTTTGTAGTATTATTTGTAATATCTGAAGCGCTTGGATCAATTATATTAGAATTTGGAGACCTTGAAGCAATTGCGAATTAAAAGGTAATAAAGTACATCCAGTCCATTATTTTTGCAGTTGGGTAAACTATTAAACATTGAAAATTATTTCATTAGTATTTGTAATTAAAATTAGACGTATATACGAATTGTTACTTACTTGCCAAAACATAAATAGGTTTTAGTAACATAGTCGTCAAGTTTGTACAGCTAATTTTGAAGCTTTGGCATCTCAGTAAAAGTTCTTTAAAAAAGGCAACCTAAGATGTCAGTCAAGCCTATTTCGTCCATTTACTTGATCACTTGAATAAATTACTAATTAGTAATCAAAAACTTTTGGACTATAAAAAATAACTGATTTTAAATTATTGAAGTACCTTTATTAGGAGCAAGTTTTTGCAACGCCATTTACTAACTCAACAAACATTTCGCTTGGACACAGTCTATGTCTTGAACGTGTGAGAACTGGGGTTGCACGAGAAATGCCTGTGAACTTGACATTCTTGTTACATTTTCTATTGGGTTTATGTGACGAAGAATTCTTTCGTAGACGCATATAACTTTGCGGTTTTCCAACATACATAGATTTCTTTCTGTTTTTTCCCGATCCCTTTTTATATTTTAATTCGGTCTTGCGCTTACGTTGACGTTTATTCTTAGTCTCGTACTTCTGTTTGCCTCGTAGAGCTTTTTGATTAGAATTTTTTTGCGAACTTTCTTCAGTAACTGGCTGAACTAAATCTAGTAGTGGTTCTATAATCATGTTTTTTAAGGTTCTCAAGAACTCCATTGCTGCGATAAACGAAATCTGACTAATTTCGCGATGTGTGTTAAGTAAGATGAATACAAAATCAACAGTGGTTTACTTATAATTTGGCAATTCAAATATTTTTGTATCCAGCGTCAATCAAAATTTACAAATTTCAAGTAAAGGATTTAGCTGAATACTTCAAATTATGGCTTCAGCGCTCCAAACAGTGCACACAAGAATTCATGTATTCCGCTTAACTTGATAAAAATAAAAAAAAAAATTTCAAGTCTTATGTAATCGCTTAAATTCTTAACACACACAAAATAAAACAAAAATTATATGACAACTTTTTAATTTAAAACTTTAGGTAAGACAATTTTAAACTTCAAAACTGTAAGATTGCTATGATATTGTACAGTTTCATATACATATAATAATGTAGTGTTCTAATATAACACATTAAGTGATTTTGTTGGGGCCATGTTATGCAGAGTGTCTCGGGCACGACAAAATTCGCTCTTTCCGGCTATGCCGAAAATGCATGTTATCCAGAGTGTCACAACAGTATTGTTAATTTTGTATTTTTACTACTTCTATTAAACTAACTTCAAGTTAGAACATATAATGCTAAGTACGGCTTTGGGACAATTGGGCTAATGAACACTGACTCTGAGCTTCAAGTTTGGCAGGGCACCCTTGGTACTTGAAGTCTCCAAAAACTATTTAGGAATAATTAAATATAAGAAACAATTCCAAGAGCACTAATTATGGGTAAAAGATATGTGGTCAGCCAAAAATTCAATTAAGTAAAATATATCTTTGCTGTTGTAATTCAGTACTTTTCAAAACCTTTCAGATAAATATTTATAAAAATATAACTTTAAGTTGTGGACTTAATTTTAAATATCTTGTTGAGGTTAAAAACGAAATTTTTTATTAGACTTTCATGGGACTTCATGATTGTAGGCATTTAGATTAAATATCAGCATTACAAATAGAAATCATGATTTAAGTCCTTATCGTAAGTCAGAAGTATGTGAAGTATTGCCATAGTAAAATTTAAATGTATGAAATTAAACAATACTTAATGAAACCATACGAAAATGTTTTACTCGTTTTTGAATAATGTATTTTTAATATTTCTACTTACCTCAAAAAGATCCTTTAACTTCGATAAGCGCTATCAGTTTCAGGGAAAATTAAAAATCCTTCCCTTATTTTTCCAAGCTCTGATTTCTGTTATTTTAGTGAGGTCTGCTTGTTTATGACAAACAAGATACAAACAACAAATTTTCCAAAAAAAATTTATAATTTGCATACGAAACAGATGACTGTTATGATGAAACTATACTCGATAAAAATGTTGAAACAAAAAAAATTTACTGTAATAAAAAAAAGTAATTTTTTATTTAACAGCAAAAAAGTTTTAAACTCAATATTAATAAAAAAAATTTCAGTAATATTTGACAGATGAAAAAAGCATTGAAATATAGAAAAAATTTTATAACACTAGTATGCGAAGAATTTCACAGTGATAAGTTGAGTGCCATTGGCTTTGATTAATCTTCCTCGTAATTTTAAAAACAAAAAACTGCATATTTGCTGTTCAAAAACGGAGGAATCTGCATATAACCTATTTTGTACATTTTGTCAGGATTACGGCTCAGCGGTTTTGTTTCAATAAATGAGGGATTAATATGTCTGTAAAAAAGGATTCAATATCCGTTTTTTTTCTCAACGTGATATTTTATTCGCACCGAACGGAGTCCGATGGTCGATGATTGAAATGCGTGAAAGCAAAAAGAAAATTTTAGATACGTAAATAAATGCAAATTAGTTTAGTGTTCGGTATGAATTACACCCTTTTATTGAGTTAAATGAAAAGTTGATACTTTTTTTGGACTGAACTTATTTAAAGCAGAAGCACGTAATTTCTATTAATTTAGTTAATCATCTGTACGTAATATTATTAGAATTATATTCCCAGAACGACTTAATTGAATAAAGCAAATTCTTTGTAAATAATCAGAACAGTTAACATGCTTCCAAAATATTTTTGGTATGTAAATAAATAAATTTGTGCTAGTATTTATTTAAAATATCTGAATAATTATTACTTAAATATTCGTGAAATATATAAGGGACAACCAGATTTAATCTTTTTCGGGAATTTATTCTGTATGACGTAGTTTTAGTGCACCGTATTATCTGCGCGGTTAACAAATATTTAGATGGATTAAATAAAAATTAAATCAAAGCCAGCTATAAAAGGAACTAGAAACTAATGTTTTTGATAGAAACTAATTTCGAACCGTTATTCAATTAAAAATATATGAATTAATTAAATTAGTTAATTAAATTTTAATAATGAAAGATAAAAACTTTGTTGCTGTAATTTACTGCTGTTCAAAAACCTTTCTGTTTAATAAAATTAATTGATTCATAGACAGCACAGTAAACACCATAAAAATATGTAGTACTACAATAATAATTATGTATAATAATAACATATACATATAATTTTTTTTAATTTATTATCGGAAAATGAAAGTATGAAGGGAAGAACATAATTTATTTGTTTAGATAAAAAGTTTTAATTTAAAATATATACTTGTCGTATTTATTCTTACGAAGTAAAACATTTTTTTTTCACTCAGAATTATTATTAAATTCTGATGCACAGGTTATTGTTTCTAAATTAGTGGTCAAATGGAATAAATTTACGATTATAGTGTAATAAAAATTACAATCATTGTAATAATTAATAATACTCATACACAATTTAATACATTTTCTCTGAAATGTTTTAATGTATATAAAATTGTAGTATATATATTTAATTTATTATTACATAAAGTTACATATTTTTTATATGAGTTACATCTGCTTTCAATTGTATTTATACGTATATTTACTTCAAATGTTTTTTTGAATATATATAATATATTAAGTTATAAGTGAAAACTGCACCAGTTCTTTTTTGATTTTCATTATTTATTTACATTGATTTCAAGGAAGCTATATTATTTCAATAAACCATAAAATATGCCAACTCATTCCTTAATAATTATTATTCTAATTATTATTAACATGCTAATTTACATATGAGTGACACGACAGGACATTTGCTTCCTGTCACCCTGGGACTACATACACAAAGCACTCCTAACACCAGTCTTATTAAATTCTAGTACAAAAAAGAAAAGCGAAAGTAAGGAAAGAAGTAGAAGAAGGAAGTTGATGAATGTCTCTTTGTGTATTTGTTTTATAAATCTATTTTTATGATTTATATTTTGTATGAATAAATCGTATTAAGTGTCAAACCCTCGTTTTCGAAATACATTACTGATCTATTATAGACGATGTCTTATGTTTCTGTTCATTTAACTTATGCATTCAGCAGGAATTTTTTAAGGCGTGTGTACTTCATTCTGCATTACAAAAAAGGATAATAAATAAATACAGTTGCGTATAGAATTTTTTGTTAGCCTTAAAAAATTTGTTATTCTTTAAACTATTCTTTCGAGGAATACAAAATTCCTTTATGGAACTTTTTTTCAGATTTTATTGCAGCAAGGTGTGTTCAAGACTATTAAATTATAAAATTTTATGGCGTCATCGTGAGAATTTAAAATTTTTTATACGATACTCATTAGCATATCAAGCAACATCTGCAGTATATTTCTTACTAATGTATTCAATAAAATTGAGATTTTTTAATTTGTATTTAATATTTTCTGTATCTTCTTTTGCACATCACACATCAACACTTTTTATTTGCTGATTCACACTCAGCTCAACAAGTTAATCCATGTTTTCGCAACCTACGTTTAAATTAATTGCCAATAATTTACAATTAAGTGTGACTGATCCGATACTTATTGTGTAGTCATTGTTATCCTTTTGCTCGGTAGAGGGGTGTTTGGCAAATTTCCATACAGTTCAATTCATACAATAGGAATTTTCACTTTTTATCCTTATTGATTATTGTTGTCTATATTTTGTTATCGTCTATGTTCAATAGTTTTTTTGTCACTCACCTTTGTGAGGTTGTTTTCATCCCTATATCAAAGATTGAGGACCGCCAAATTTGCCAATTCGGAATGAATTGTTTGCAAATCAACGTTTTGTTAATAAAGTGTCACTGCGTGTGCTGATTTGTAATCGCTGATGAGGTTAATTTTTATTGTTTGCGTATTGACTTTGATTGTTTTTTTATTTGTTTGCCATTTATGAAGAAAACAATTACTGATTGAAAATCAAGAATAGAGGAGAAAGTCGTAATTATACTGGGTGTTGACAAAGAAAGTCACAACAATTTGCAACCCCTTGCAAAATTTTATAAATGCCTTTTGTTGTGGGTACGACATGCTTTTACCTTTCGTCCTCGATTATTTGCAAGTAGTAATTTTTAATAAGAGAATCCTGATTATGCAGATAATTCATATTTTTCGTGTTAAAAAAGAAACTATCAAGAAACTTTTTTCCCTTATGGAAAAAACATTTTACTTACATTACTACATTATTATCAGTTGTACATTTCACGAGTTGTGATTAAAAACTAAAGAAATTTTAGCGTTCTTTGAGAAATATTAATTAAAATTCAATTTTCATCCGAAAGTAGTCTTTCT